GAATTGTGATGCCTCCTGTTTTGTTTCTCTTTTTCAACACTGCTTTGGCTATTTGGGGTCTTTTCTGGTTCCATACAAATTTTGGGATTGTTTGTTCTAGCTCTGTGAAGAATGCTGGTGTTATTTTGATAGGGATTGCTTTAATTTTTTAAATGTTTATTTATTTTTGAGAGAGAGAGAGAGTGAGTGAGCACAAGCAGAGGAGGGGCAGAGAGAGAATGGGAGACACAGAATCTGAAGCAGGCTCCAGGCTCTGAGCTGTCAGCCCAGAGTCCAACGCGGGGCTTGAACCCACAAACTGCGATGTCATGACCTGAGCCGAAGTCGGACGCTTAACTGAGCCACTCAGGTGCCCCTATAAAGCTATGTAATTTTAAGAACTTTGGAAAATATAAACAAACATTTTGTTGTTTGAAATGGTAAACATTAGGAATGTTGACTTAACTGATAATGAAAGGTATAATAGCATCTTCAGATTTTCATACCATATAATTTTAATTGTTGGAATTTAAGAGCTCATCACTCTTGCTTCAGGCTTCGACCAACCAGTAATTGTTGGGATACTCCTTTTTAGAGAGGTCCGTGGAAGAGATTGTAGATATTTTGAAAGCATTTTATGTGTCTGACTCATCTTTGTCTCTATGTATATTATTACCTAGGTAACATTTTACCCCGAAATTTAGCAGCTTGAAACAACAAACTTATATCAGGAATCTAGGCATGGCTTTGCTGGTTTCCTCTGTGTAAGGTCTCTCATCAGATTATTTGCCTGCTGAAGCTGCACTTGAAGGCTCAGCTTGGGGAGATCCACTTGTAAGCTCATTCACATGGTTGTTGGTGTGATTCAGTTTCAGTTCCTTACAGATTATTGGTCCGAAGACCTCAGTTCCTTGCTGGCTGTTGACCTCCCTCAGTTCTTGCCACGTGCGTCTGTCCATAGAGTGGCTCACAACATGTGGTCGGCTTCCCTCAGAGAGAACAAGCAAGAGGGATAGAAGATAGAACTGTGATGCTTTGTAACCTAATCTTGGAATGGACTTCCATTTACTTTTGTCAGAAAAAAGCCACTAAATTCAGCCCATACCTAAGAGAACGAGATTATACGAGGGCATGAATGTTAGGAGAATCATTGGGGATTCATCTTAGTGGCTGTCTACCACACTACATAGGACAGTATTATTATGAGTAATTAATTCATTGTTAATCTGACTCTAGTATTATTTGATAGGTAAATACTGACTTTGAAACTATGAAAGTTTGGGGCACCTGGGTGGCTCAGTCGGTTAAGCGTCTGAC